ATTATTTAGTAGCATTTATTATTTGTATAACTCAACATCCACATAAATTTTTTCCCAAACATTTAGTGCATATCTGGATTTATTCCCCATATTAATTCTCCATTTGTGTCCTTATAAAAATTAAACTTGGGGTTTTTTCCAAACTGTTGGAATTGTCATTTGAAGTGCTGTCTTATCAGTGAAAGGCTACCTGAAGTTACCATTACTTTAGTTTGCAGAAATAAAAAATGCAACTTGTCAGAAAATATTTAACATCATATTCTATTGAAAGAATAATTAATTTGTTAAAAATGGTCTTTAGCAAATTATTAAAAAAATATGATCTCTCACTTCTCTGTGTCAGTCTGAGTCTATAATTAAACATACATTTTCTAAAATTCTGCCCAAACATAACAAAAAAATTCATGCCACAGTTGTAAAAAGATAGTCTTTCAGATGAAGAGATAGTTTCAGCAACTCTGGACTATGTGGGTTTTTTTTACTTTGGCTGAGGATACAGGGGAAGACCTGTTTCAGCTCAGAGACCATCAAAATCTGTATTAGATCAGTATGTAATATCAACAACATAAATCCTCTGACTCGTGTTAGAGCTTGTTCAAGCAGGGCTCAGCTGTTTGCACTCTGTACCTTAAAAGGGTTGCAGCTGTAGAGATTTACTGAGTAGCTACGTGATCCTTGGTGCATAAATTACCAAATATCAAATGCTGGTTGCAGCATCAACAGAATATCAGAAGTAGGAAGAGTGAATCACTGATTATATCAGCTCAAATTTTGTTGTATCTTCTGGGACTTGTAGAGCCCAAACTATTTTCTGATAAGCATTAGTTGCATCAATCAACCCTCAGACAGGGAAAAAACCCCAACACCTCAGGCTTGCTTTACAAGAACTTTCTTTGCCAAAGCTGGGAGACCTGTCAGCTCTAATACAATGACCTCGTGGCACTTGCTATCACCATGTTTCTTATGACCTGGGAACAAACGCATTTGATGTGTAAGAGACACTACTGGAAAAACTTTGCTAAGCTACTCCGGGGAAGGTCTGTGGAGTTTGAGGGGCAGATGCACATTAACACAGTAAATTTAAGGTAAGTTATTTCTTATTTTGGTGTTCATATTATGAACAGGATATTTTATGCCTACAAAAGAAACCCTCATTCTTGCCTCGGGAAACCATTTTCATTCCTCACAACATCAAGTTTAAGTACTATAGCCAATTAATATAGATCCTTTAATAATTAGTTTATTGTGCTGATGCACCTGATTGTCAAAATCAATCGTTCTTATCTTTCAAATAAAACACTGCTGTCAGAGTGACCATTCGAAATGACAATTGACTCTGGAAACCACAAGGATTTATATCATGTTTATGGGTATATCATTATGTGGACAAAATCATTGATCTTGACAAAGATTTGTCTCTACAATTCTTTACATAGAACCATAAAAAAATTCTTGGATCACTTGCAACACCAAGTGATTGGATTTTCTCCTAGAAATTGTATGTCCCTTTTAAATCTCTGTAAGTTTTTGATATTCAGATGAATCTGTACACCTTAACTACATATAGTGCAAAAAAATATCTTTCATTTGTTTTTAACATGGCCTTTGATAGTTTCACTTTGTTTCTCTAAGCTGTGACTGAAGTTTCATTTCAGTGAAGAGCCATCAAGAAATTCCCCTGAATTACAGGGTGTTTTCCACGGAAAAAAAAAAGTAACTTCATTTGAAAATAGAAATGTTGAAAATTTCTTCTTATATTTTGAATTTAATTTCCAGAATGTTTGAAGAGGTCAAATGTACCAGTAGACAAAGTCTTATGTACCAGAAGTCTGATCAAGTTTTGCTAAGGAGCAAAAGAACAAACACATGAATTGTGGTGCTTTTTATTAGTTCACAAGTCTACAAATTCAGAAGTTTTATTGCCAGAGATAAAACAAAAAACGAATGTCAGAATCATCTACCTGAATATCTTACAACTAGTTTTGACGTTGATTCCCTGTGTTCCTACAATAGCAGAAAGAGGTGTGGTGTATATTCTCGCATGCCAAGTTTGATCACAGTTTGACTGGTTCATCTCTTTTGTAAAGAAAGAATACTCCTTAAGACTTTTTTTTCTGCCTATATTCTGGGAAGTCCTCTGTAGAAATGTCAATGAATGACAGTCAGGTATTGAAAGGATGTGTGCTTTTTACTTTCTGAACTTCAGCTCATCTTTCAGAGGAGTGAGTGAGAGAAAAAGAAGCATTTCACTTTATCTGTCTCAGCTGACACAAGCTATGGAATGAAGCAATTTTGGGGACTGGACAACAAGTATAACTGGCCATATTTGGAGAAGGCTATTATCTTCTTTGATATGTTGTTATTCATTCTCAAAATGTCTGGACCATTTTAAATCATACAAAACAGTAGTACTTCACTGGTTTGTGGTAAGATATTGGTGAAAAATACTATATTGATGTTCATAGTCTACAAGATCTATCATTTTCCCATATTCCTTATATATGTGAAAGTACTGTGATGTTGAAAATATTACATTTGCAGGTATTACATGTAAACATATTAACATCAAGCAGTCTGCATTTGCTAAGGAAGCCTAAAAACCAGGTTTTACTGCTGCCCAAAGATTAATCAAGAAGATAATCACATCTTACTCCCTAAATTATCCATCTTTCTTTTTATTATTTTGAGATTTCTGATAGACATATAGTGTTATAATATTTTAATGATGTAGAGATTGACAGTTCTGTACAGGAAGAATTTTTAGATTTAGTTGCATAACCATGACTATCTTCTAGACAAAGTTCTTAGAAATTCTGTATAAATACAGAAACAAGAGTTAATATCCCTTTGATTAAAACATAGTAAAAGTCACAAAATCATTGTTAATATTCTAACTGTCTTGGGAACTCCCTAAATTCATTTAGTTCCAAGGGAAGGCCAGGGACTTTTTCAGGCATGTTGCTATTTCCCTTGGATAGTTTTGTCTTTAAAAGGTGAAACACTAAATTATCGACTTGGGAACAGGTTCTGAAAACATATGATTCTTTAATATTATACTGAGACTCCAGAAGAACTCAGACTTTATTAGTCCACTAATTCACAAGATTTCTTTTAGAGACATGGGAGATACTAAAGCATAGTCTGAATTGTACCAAATTTCCCTAGACCTCCTAGGTTCTGCAAAAACTTGTAGCTATAGTATAAGGCTGAAATGTTTATTGTTACAGAAATCTTCCCAATATGTATTTAAGTTTCCTTTCCAAAGACAGCTTAACTATCAACAACAGGGTCTTTTTTAGGATTTTAATAAAAATAGTGGTTTGAATGTGGGAAAATTAATCTAAACTCCTTTATGCTCAAAATATATTTTTTTTTCTGCCTCAGACACGCATCTTTTGACTTAAATTGTTTCCTGTTTAAGGGGAGAAGAGCAGCAGATAGGTAAACAGATAATATGTGATATTTTTCTTTCAAAAATAAACCCAAAATTATTTACAATTCCTTTCTCTGGATTTTGGTGAGACAACTACAGGGACAGGTGGTTGCCCCCCACCGCCTGTGGTAGCATTTCACTCACTGTTTCAGATTGTCAAGCCAGAGGGCTGCCCTTGCTCCTGCTGGGCCGACAGGCTCCATCCAGGGAGCAGACGATGGTGACATTTGCTCCAACTGCTCTAGCGGTTCTGCTCGCTCTGCTTTTCTGCAAGGGTACACATGGTTCTGCGAGTGGGATTACATAGAGCTCTCTTGTATAAAAGAGACTCTTAAGCAGACTCCTCTACCTTTAAAAGCTTTTAGACTCTGACTTTTGCATTAGAAGACTTTATATTATTGCCTTAGAATAGGGCGGCCACTCAGCCCATGGACATTCGGGCTTAATTAGTTGTCCAAGGCTTCTACACACTCTCATAATTGTAAACTCTCCTTCACTCCACCTTATAATGTGCAGGTGCTTTTAACAGAAATACCTCCGAAATACACCTGGCAACAACATGCACAAATTGAATAAGTTTCAGGCTTGCTTGATGGTGGGGTTTTGTGCTTCTCTCTATCGGACAGCACTCATCACTAGCTGTGATGTTTTAAACATGCATTTTAAAGTTGTACATTTAAAATATATTGGCAGAAAGGTTGTGAAATATTGAAATCAGCCATCCTGTTGTTTTATAGTGATGAAATTAAAAGAAGTTCTGAAGGTCAAATATTGAAATGACAATATTCAATTAACTTATGGGTAAAAGTCTACTGGGTTCCCTTTCTCCTAAGTGTTTTTAATGGAAAAATAATGAAAATTAGAATAGCATTCTGTGCCAAAAATCAATTTAAAAATAAATTAAATCAGATTGTGTCCTTGTAACCTAGATAAAATTCCTTAGAAAATTCTGTGATGATTGCAATATTATGCAATCAGAAAAAGTTCAATCAAAATCAGATTTAAAGGAATGGAAATTTTTCTTACTACAGAAGCATACATTCAAAACAACTTCAGCTTCACCTGGTATCAGATTATGAGAGTCAAACATTTTATTAGTCTTTAAATCAAGTTAAACTGATTGGAAACATTGAAATTATTAAAAAAGCACATGAGTATTTCATTGTGGAAGCTTTAGAAACAAATTGAGAGTTAGGAAAAATATGAATGAATTTGATGTATTCTCTGGCAATTAAGACAATATAATGTCTATGCAGAACTGTATTCTGTAGTAAATTAGAGGATGTGTTCTACTTAGTAGTTTCTACTGTAACTATTTACATAATTGTTTTCTGTACAAGTCATTTATTAACAACATATACTTTACTATAATTCATTCAGCAAAATCCTAGCCACCCAAAATTCAATTATAGTTTTTCCATTTGTTTCACTGGAACCATAATCTTGTCATCTATCTTTTGGAGATGTTCATAAGTGAATGAATCAGGGAAATTGTAGAAGTGACCAATAATTTCATTTTTTAGAAAGGTGTTTGGCAGTAAGTATAATCATTTACTTATCTGTTTAGGTTTCTCTGGATCAAATCATTAAAGAAAATCTGTGGTTAGTTCAGGAATATAAAATCTTTCATAACTACTACTTAAACAGTAGAGATCTTACAGAATTCTACGACAATAGTATCAGGTTGGAAGCTGCTGCTAGAGACCATCAGCAGGTAAGTGTTAATATCGCTCATTCAATTAATTGATCTCACCTCTAAAAGTCAACGGATGCAATTATTTAATAACATTAGAATGTGTGCAGTAATACCTATCACCATAATTCTCCTTTTCTTCTTGGATATTTCACATTTTCATATTTTCATTTTTTGCTTCCTTGCTGTGGTGGGGTATTTTATTATTTTTACCGAGCAGTTCATGTAAGGTTCTCAAAATACATTATTCATAAGTTGCACCTTTGCATCTGAAATGTATTTATTTTTGTATATAAATACATTATGCAGTAATTAATTATGTAACGGTAATTACTTTACTGTTACATAAAACTTCTCCATAAAACACTTTTTCTGCTAATTGTGAGTTTTATGACATCTATGGTCAGACTCCATAAGCCTTTAATTCAGAAAACAGTCAAGTGAAAATCAAAAAAGGTAAAATCTATGACAATGAACTTGTATGATGGAGATATAATGGCCAGATGTAGCATTTTATTGACTCACTAGATACAACTTAAAAGATTTTATTTTTTTAATTTAACAGTGCCGTGAAATCTGAGTCAATGATATTTTAGAACTTCATTGTGGCAATGACAGAAAAAATATTTCCTGTTTCGTTTCTTTGTGTTTATACATAGCTCTCAAAATAAAAGCTTATCAGTACCCACTGTAATCAATTAAAAATATTGTTCAGGTGGTTTAGGTTATTCCTTGATTGCCTTCAATGCCCACATTTTGGGAAATTAATATGCATTTAAGTCATCATAAGACCTTACCTTCATATCGGCAATTTCAGGTAAGAATCTTTATTAACTCAGATCATATGCAGGAACCAGGTCCTGATATATTGGTATTTTAGTCCATTTTCTAGATGGACAGTGTAGAAGTGTTCAAATAAATACCTTAAATGTAAAATTCAGATTATTTGCTAGTACTTTACTCTTAGCATCCATTTTATGTCTTATGCCTGTAACTTCATCCATTGCTCATTTTTTCATAATACTGCAGTTAATTTTGTATTGCAAGATTCACTGGATTCAGTTTGGTCCTGGCAAATATAAACAAGAAGATCCCTTCCAAGATGTTCTTATTAACTATAGAGCTCTTCTGTATTTCAGAACAAAACTCTTTTTAAGTCATATATTCTTAGGCATAACTGTTTTTGGAGAAAAAGTTGGAGATTCAAAACATAAAACCCAGAAGAAATTATTGCCTATCTTTCTGCACAAAGTGAGTGTAAATTACGTTCTGTTGATACGACAGCAAAGGCAATGCTATGAGTATTGAAATGTTTTCTTAAAGGGACTGTATTATATCAGGAATATGAAGGTTTTTTTCTGAATGAAGAATTAAGGCATACTCTCTTCCAGCCTTTCTACAGAGAAATATACCTGTGTAAGTTTATCAACTGGACCTTTTATTTCTTTCTATGTAAGAATATCTGTTTTCCACATTCTCAGAATTTAATAGGTCTTGGTAATATCTGCAAAAAAGATTTTCCACTCAATAATTTACCTCTTCTGGACATAGTATGGATGATATTATCATGCATCTCAATGATGTAGTCTGGAAGCAAAAGAAAATTGCAAATGAGCTGGCATATATTATTGCTTTTTTCCTTCTCAATTTGAATATAATAAAATAAACATAGTAAAATATAGCAAAATAGCAATGCAATACCAACAGGATCTAGTTTCATTAGCAATGCTATATAATAAGATTTTTTGCTTTTTAAAATCTTGTTTATGAAGAAAATGGTTATGAAGTTCCTATTCTATAGGAGCTTATAATTAGCATTACAGTACATATACCAAGCTTGAGGTAGGAATTAGTGATGGCAATGTTTAGAACTTTGGACACTCCTCTGTGCCTTTCAGCAGTGGTATGTGTATGAAGAATGGAAATGCTCCTCACAATACTAATTTAAGGATTACAGAGGCAACTTAATCTAATTTCTTTTTTGATAACTCTTCATTTTGTTAAATGAATAACTAGTCCAACTACTAAAATATTCCTACCATTCTCACATAAACAAAGTATTTAAGAATTATGACAAAAGGAAAAACCATATTGATTATATACACTACCTATGAAAAGTTACATTTTCTTCTCAGGTTTTTGCTAATAAGTGAATTACATCAACAACAGAAAATCAATTCTGGGGAAGTGTCAAAGTAATGATTTTTATTGGTGCTCTGCTATATATGTGTACCAGTACAATGGCAGGAACATTCAAGAAGAAAGTGTGTTTATCCTCAATTCCTGAGAAGTTGCTTTCCTATATATATATAATTACTCAAAATTAGAAGCCAATTTTTACTAATATAAAAGCTAATTTTTTTTTTTTTAATTATTATTTTTCTTCATTTTAACTGGAAAACACCCACAAAGTGTTCAAGGCCAGGCTGGATGGGGCTTTGAACAACCTGCTCTAGTGGAAAGTGTTCCTGTCCATGACAGAGGGTTTGGAACTAGATGATTTTTAAGGTTCCTTCCAACCCAAACCATTCTATGATTCTATGACTCTGATGTTTAACTTGATCAAATATCAGTGTTGTCAAATATCACTCTGAACAAGAAAAGTATTTCCTTATAGTTCTTTCAGATACTCTTACTCTCAATTTGTTTTTCTTAGTGGTTTACTCTCTGAAACAACACTTCCCTCCACAAAGACATTCTTCATATATCCCTTACATCTATATTTTCCACTGGAGTGCCAGTCATGTTGAATGTGCTAGCTTCATTATAAGATGAATCACACATTTCCATTTTTTTCTAGACTTTGGAATAAACTCTAATAAGTCTTGATAATATCTTTAAAGGCATCCTATTGAGTACCAAATATTTCCCCTAAATATTTGGGCTCGAGTGTAGACGTTGTGGGGGGGTTGTTTGGTGGGTTTTGTTTGTTTGTTTTTCAGTGCTGATAGGTTATGAGTTTGTACCTGTGTATTGTGGTGTGGCAAAATCCTCCATGTATGAGATTTGTAGATTAGTCTTTATGTGGTAGACAGCAACAAGATCTTGCTTAATACAGCTTCTTCCCCGCAAACATATAGCAGTAGTTTCTTCTGGAAGTCTCAATGCGCTAACATATTTGCACCAGGAATATGATTATGCTTTAAAAACAAATCTAGTTATTTACCGTATCTTTCTTTTTGCACTGAATGATCTTAGAATATCTAATCAATGAGCAAAATTTGATACTTCTGATGTGTTGTGCTAACGTGTCAGTGGTTGTACTGTAGACATCAGCTTTTGTTCTTATAGTTAAATTAAGGAAGATTTCCAAACCTAAAGATTTGGCATGTAATTATAACTTAAGAACTTGTATCTGTCCTTAATACTGCAAGCGGCATTGTCTTACAAAACATCGATAATTTGGTTTTTTTCACATAACTTTTATTTAAAAACTACAACACAAACTATAATTGCTTTAAAACACAAGTAAGATATTCATTCTTGTATTCACTATCTGCTATCTTCAGGTGGTCATGTTATAGTAATATTTTGGGGAGAGGAGGTCTATTGATTCCTGTTTCTTTTTTAATTTTTTTTTTTTACTTTCTGGATAACTGACATATCATTGCAGTAAAACATATGTAGGGTCAATTCATGCTGAATAGTTATTAGAAACCATGATAACAAAAGTCATTACACTTCAGTTTTGACAGTAAAATTTCTGCAACATTATCACAAATCCTCATGCATTAGTGCAATGATCCTTACTATAGTTTCGTATTAGAATCAAAAGACTGCTGTAGCATGCTTGATACAAAAAGTCATGCAAGTCAAGTGAAGTTCTTTTATGCTTTTATAGATAACATATTTTCACGTCTTGCTCATGCAGATATCTGAGTCTGAGCCCTCTCGGATATTTCTGTCTTTAGTATATTTCTCATCTGGGTTATGTTTTAAAATAATGTCTCTGTTGTTTAGAAAGGCCAAATAGAACACAAAGTAGACCCAACAATGGGCACATTTCAGTTAAGCAATGAATTCCTTCTGATTTTGTTGTTTCTGTGCACTGACCTAACGGAAAAAAAAATTAGTTTTCTCATATAAACAAAAAATAATTTCTATCTCTAAATTGTGGTTTTAGTTCACTTATCTGGAGATCTTGGTTTGCTTCATGTCATCGCAGTACTAGCAATGAAAGCATGGAAAATATTTTGACAAAAAATGCCCCACCCATTCCCAATTCTTTACAAATCTCAAAGGAAAAATAAAACTCTCAAGGATTCAGTGTGAAAAAAAATAAAATTATCATAGAAAGAATTCTTATTAAAATAAAAAAGAATTATTTTTATCTATTTCTAAATTAAATTTTAAGCCAGCTTTCAGAAATGTTTTGATTTGGAACAGAAATGGGTAATTGAGCTGAAATTTGGGATTTGTCAATATAACAAGACTAGATAGTAGCTAGTAAGCAAAAATACATAATTTACAGTTTTTTTAATTGAGATTCTCTCTGCATTTAGAGTTTTGATACAATAATACACTGACAGAATAGCCAGCTTTATATGAAAACATGAGGGAAAAAGAGGTATCTTTAATAAACTTTTCATTACGTAAATTTACTAAACTTTCTTTGAGCTAATTATATTTAAACAATGTAAATGTCAAGTTGATGTTAGGATTAAATTTGAATCAATAACTTAATAAGTTCAAATGACTCAATCAGAAAATTAATGCAACCGGCTGCCAAACCAAATTATTATTTTGATAGCAAAAGGATGTTATCAAGATAATTTATGGAGAAGTTGGTCTCCTTTCCAGATGCACCAGCCACATCAGTGGCTAATCAGGTCACAGTTTTGATGCACAGTCCTGCATCACAGAATGCAGTGAAATCTGTAGGACATCAGTGTTAGTTCAATCCTACAGTCACCCAGGAGAAGGTGTCCCATTTCAGCAAGTGAAATCTCTTTGTTTTGGTTTGCTGGTTTGTTTTTTTACTAAAAGAAATGTAGATATTTGATAATTTGGTTAGGCATTTT